TTGTAAAGCCATGAATCAGTCTCGGGCTTTGCACGAGCTAAACACACTGGATGCGCATTAGACTTGGTGTTTTTGAGCGCACTGTTGTTGTTGTTGTTGTGTGATATATAGATTTTCGTGGCGTTGAAGATCCAGCGCTGTTTTTCTTGAGGAACAGCTGAGAGGATGTAAACACACGTCACATGGTTCACAGAAACGAGGCTGCGGACATTAGACTGCAAATGCTGCTGGCTAATAACTGGTTCTTATTATAGTCCTCCAGGAGGCTCCCTGAGGCCCAAAGAGCGGAACTCCCATTGAGCTGCATTCAAATATAAACTCGATTATTCATATATTGGAGGAATTTGTAAATATAAAACTATAATCGTTTGAATCTATTCATACTAATGGTTGATTTTTGAGTTATATTTACAAATACGCTTAATGCATTTATATATATAAAAAGGACTGAATTGCATTAACCAAACAATTAATCGCAAAAGAATGCGATTAGTCCAGCTAATCCAGCGCTGATAAAAGTACCACGTACCACGTGACAAAACGGACAACGCGCGTCTTCAATAGCGGTCTGAGCACTTTATTAAAAAATAGCGAGAATCTTAAACAGCTAAAATATTAGATGTATAAATACAGACAGCGAAACTAGACAGCATCGTCTAAATGCTATTCCACCCGGTTTTTCTGTTTTAATCGGCTGTGGACAGCGGTTGTTTCTCCCCACCTATATCACATACGCCCCGCCTCTTGAGCCAGGATTGGCTAGTAGGCTACAAAGGCGGTCAACTATTGGACAGTTTAGGAGTCGTTCATATTAACGTAGCTAGCGTAGCAAATAAGGATTAGGAGAAGGCGGGACGTGAGTGGAAAAACCTTCAGAATTATGAATTATGTGGTGACATCTTTTTATTTTCCCAGAGGCCACTCTACCCAGCTGACCCCTCATGACCCTGTAAGATTCATCTAGTCCAACTCTACTGGGAAATTAACATTATGAAACCAGTTTAAAATGAATAAGTGTCCATTTATACATCTGGACATTAGGTTTCATTAACATAAGACAATGCTCCTATTGGATTGACAGCATAGTAAGTCTTTCTACATACATCAGGTCATGATGTTCAAACACTGTACCAAGTTCCCAAAAATAACTCTACAACATAGGCAATATGTGACAGCAATCACATCCAGGAGAATTATAGGTAAAATGATCTCAAAGTCAGGAAGGGTCATATAAAACTCCCCTTTAACCCTAAAAGATATAGCTCCCTCCTAGAATGCATATGTAGATCAAAAAAGACAGAAGGAATTAGATGCAAATTCTTTATAAAGCTATTTGCTTATATTTTAATTGAATGGCTTGTTTGTGTGTGTGTAAAGCAGATAGTTTGAGGACAAATATGACTGTTATTTTGTATAATAACTATAAATAATTTATTGTACTAAATAATAATTTATGATATTTTAAAAATATATTATTTTATATATAGTATATATGTTATTTATATAATAAACATTATGTGTGTATATGACAGATACTTAATGTAATATACAATGTAATATAATAATTCATTGTATTTAATAATCATTTATTACATTAAATATAATTATATATATATATATATACAGTGGGTACGG